TCCTGGAGTCCCGGGATCGAGTCCCGCATCGGGCTCCCTGCTCGGCGGGGGGTCTGCTTCTCCCTCTGCCCTCTTCCCTCTCGTGCTCTCTGTCTCTCATTCTCTCTCTCTCAAATAAATGAATAGAATTTAAAAAAACAAAAACAAAAACAAAAAATCTCTAGGGAAAGTTTTCCATGATAAATTATTGAGAAAAAAAGCCACAGAGCAGCGTGTATAACATGCTATAAGTAAAAGGGGAGTGGATATTCATATTTATTTGACTATGAAAAAAAAGCCCTCTGGAACATTATACAAGCAATTAAAAGCAAGAAGAAAGTGAAATGGTGCTTGACACATAGTCAAGCCTCAAAAAACATAATCATCATCATGAAAATATATCCTTAAATTGTATACACAGAATGCATTCAAACTAAATCCATAATGAGTTAAACAACCAAATCTCAATTATTTATAAACTGACTATCTAGGAGATCCAAGCCCTCAATCCCTCTTCAAAGATAAGTAGCCTTTGGCAATTTTACTGTTGACTATCACCTTCACCAGAAAGTGAGCTGAGGAAATAACACCAAAAACAGTAATTTTATTTGATATTGATCAACAGTTTTTAATTAACAGCTTCTGGAGCTGAAAGGAACAATGAAAATCCCATTGTGCAACTTTCTAATATTACATATGAAGAAACTAAGGTCCAAATTCCCCAAATGAGTGACAGTTCAAAGATGTGAAGTCTGCCCCTTAGTTAAATGCTTTCCATTTCTTTATTAATAAGATGGGGGAAACTGAAAATAAGCTTAATTGAAATCAATTAACCTTGTTAAATTCCCTCCCCTCCACATCCTTTATTATACATAACTAAGTTTGCTGAGATTAAATCCCATAAGCAATCGTAATAAGTACAGGTTATCCAGAGAATTCAACAACTCAGCCCTGAGGTTTCCAAGACTAAGCATTGAATGAACACCTGTAATAAAATCTGTGAAGTTTGCTTACACTAGAGATTGTCAGAGGCATGTTGAAATCCTTGCCACCTTGCAGCCGGAAACCCCAAGGAGCTGGGCCAACCAAGGACACACTGTAGTTGCTCATGGCTCTAATAACTCAAAGCCCAATCCCAGAAAATGAAAGAACCTGTGAAAGAAAATTAGATGGTTAACAAATTGTTTATTTGAAGCCCTATTACATATTTAAATGTATTTAATATAAGCTCAACTAAATTATGTTCAATATTTTGTTTGGGGGGATGAGAAGATACAGAGGATAAGTCTACATTAAGTTCTCATTTCAGTCTTTTCAGGAAAAGGAATCTATGAGCTAATATACAATTTCTAAGCTGATGCCAATTTCCATAATCTAAAAATTCCATATCAGAATCTATTTCTGGACACTTGATCAGTTTTATAACTTGCTACAGTACAATTTGTGGCTTCTTGCATACAAACTTTAACTCAGTACTTTACAACACTTCACTATACAGAGAAGAAACAAGATTTTATTTCAGGTTTAATTCAAAATGATTTTCCCCTTCCCTCTACCTCATGCATTCTTTTTTTTTTTTTTAAGATTTTATTTATTTGACAGAGAGAGACACAGCGAGAGAGGGGAACACAAGCAGGGGGAGTGGGAGAGGGAGAAGCAGACTTCCCGCTGAGCAGGGAGCCCGATGCGGGGCTCGATCCCAGGACCCTGGAATCATGACCTGAGCCGAAGGCAGACGCTTAACGACTGAGCCACCCAGGCGCCCCTACCTCATGCATTCTTTAGCCTGCAGTTGGTAACAGTCCTTAAATTCTAAGCTACTCTCCGATATGAAAGGACTGCATATCCATAGACTCTCATTCCACATACATAATTTTTTTAAGTTGTTTTTTAATACACAAAACTATTCTCTCCAACCATAAACTACAACTTGTATTTCCTCTTACAGGGACATGGTATTTTCAACACAGAGCAATATTTACTTTTCCTTTAGACAGGCAATGATAGGCAATAGTCTAGCACAGTGATATTTCAGTGAGAACCTGCTTCTTGTTTTATACACACACCACATCAGGCAAAGTAAAGAATGAGCATTAACCACACAGTGAATGAGATGACTAAATGGGGTAGGAATATAAGGTTAATCTTAATGCATGAAAGGGAACTGGAGCCTTAGAAAAGCAGCAGCACTTCAGTGTTGTCTTTGTTTTGCTGTAAGTGCACTCATGACTCTCATGGTTTTACTTTGAGTTTTGTATTGGTTGGTATGATTGGTTATGTGTGGTGGGAGAAATTGGGAGAAATGGATATTTTCTAAAATGTAATGCTAAGAAACATATTATTTCCCCCTTTAAAAATATTAAAAATATAGTGGATGTATAATTTAATAATTTTAAAACCACATTTTAAAAGAAAACTGTTGAAGACACATTTCCTTGGAAAATCTGTGCTGTTGGACTAAATCACCACCTTATATTATTACCTGTCTTAAAATATTTTTCCATTTTTTTTAACCCATTCAAAACTTTGATCCCATTATACCAAATTAATATTGGCACATGTAGGTATGTGAATCATTGGGCATATTAAGAACAAACAGAAGATGTCACTTCTTATAAGGGGAAAATGAGGCAAAACTTTCAAGTCTGGTCCTTAAAGAAAAATTAAACCAGTGAAAATCTGTACTGCACCTACCCAGAAATGAGATGAGCTTTTCCAATGGCATGGTAATACACATTCAGTACTGATGTAATACACACAGGGCACTAAAAAGACTTAATGGCCATGCCAGAAGTCAAACTGTTAGATACACATGAACAACAAATAACAGAAAGATAATTAAGAGCCACACATAATTTAATTGTTTTCCCGCTGTAATAAAAGATTTTCATAGAACTACTAAAGAAAGATTGTTCTTACCTCGGTATTATATGATATAAATCAGAAGCGTGTAAAGCCAACATATTTCTGAGGCAGCCTGCCCCCTCCTTTTTTAATCTTTAACTTGTATCAAGAGAACAATGTGAGAGTTAGGCTCAACTTCCTCTGGACCCACTGTTCCCTACTAGAAAATGTATGTAATTTATATATCAAGCCATGTACATACAACTTCCCTTTACTTGGGAGTTTCCTTCCCGATTTATCTCATTTATTAAAATTTCTAGCACTGGCAAGGTCACAGCCACATTACAGAACCAGTGTCATTTCATTTCTAGTATTCTCCCTCTGCTAGCTTCATTTGCCTTAGAACATTCTGATCCCTAAGTAATGGTAATATTACTATTGGCTTTTTCCAGGTCTCCCCCATCTGGTTATTAGTGCCCAAACTCCTAAGGAGGCAGGAAATAGTGAGGAGCCTATTCTGCTTTCAAACACCAAGAAAACGTTGGACCTTCCGTACAGTTTGGGATTTTCTTTTAGGGAAAGTCTAAACAATGTCTTCGATTTAATATTTGGGAAGGAAGCTTGGTATTTCCCACACTTCTATGCCGGCTTCTTCGGTGAGTGGGAAGAGGGAAAGGAGAACTCAGTGGCAAGAAGGATCTGAAATTAACGAGCAGTATCTTGAGATTCTCTTTTTCCCCAAATTGGGAGATAATGGAGTACAGCTGAAGAACTAAAGCCACGGGCACATGATGAAAGCAGTCAACAAGACATTTTTCCAGCAGAGGTTCACGCCTAGCCCTGTTTGCCAAATAAGGCTCCGGAGCGGGCTATTTCCGTGGCTGGCAGGTCCGACGTCCTCACGGTCAGGAAGGCGGACTTGGGATAGGATCTGGCGATCACACCCTAGACCTGCCCTGCCCGACGCAGCCACGAATTTTCTTTCCTACCTCTGCCCTGTCCAGACGCCCTTCCTTTTTCCACTTATTGTCAAATGCACTGAAGGCAGTCTTACAAAAGTCCCAACAAGTACTCAAGTATTAATAAATCTGGCGATTATGACAGATTTTTTTAAACAAGCTTTATTTCTGGTCGCACGGCTGTTTCCCCAAACAGGTACACAATTTTAAATATCTGGGGGGAAATAAACACTTCTCAGTTGGGCGAAAGCCAACAAAAAAATAACACGCCTTTCCCGTTTAGTCCCGCTCCCTACACCCCAAAGAGGTTCCTGCAGGACGTGGGTGTACCCAGACGGCAAAGTAGGTGCCCGGCGACGCCCGGCAACTCCCGGCAGCTGGCCGCCCGGGAGCTCCACGTCCCTGCCTCCGCCGCACTCGTCCCGGCCGACTCGAGCTCCGGGAACTTCCAGTGCTCGTCCTCTGGCCTTGCGCCCACTCCCGCGCCGCCCTTTCCCGGGAGCTCCTCTTCCCACGCGGCTCTTTCACCTCCGCCGCTCCAGAAAGCACCTGAGGAGCCGTCCCCGCGCAAAGCGCGCCCCCTCACGCTCCCCAGCTGGGCTTCCCTCCGCGCACTGGGCGCAGGGAGACCGCTTCTCCCCCTCCTCCCTCCGGGATGGAGGAGCTGCGCATCCCCGCCCGGCGGTCACTCACCTCGAGTCCGGCGCGGCGCTGCCTCCGCCTCAGACGACCGCTGACAAGTGATTCCGAGTGCGTGCGCCGGCCCCACAGCCCGGGGAACTTCCGCCTCCTTGCACTCCCCGACCCCGCCCCCAGGCGGAGACACGCCCCCGGCCGAGCTGGGCAGCCCCAGGCGGGCGGAGTAGGGTACGCAGGAGTCAGGCGCGCGGGCTTGCTGAGGCGAGCTGAAGCCAGCGCAGGAAAACAATTGAGCTACTGAGTTTCGGTGGGAGTAATCAGGAGATTTTGAGAAGTACCTGGCGAAGGTATGCTCCTCGTGTCTGTTTTGTAATGGATGCATTTCTCTGAATCGGCAAGCAGTTGTTCTGGCTAAAAATAGAAGAGGGCTTTGGATAAATCCCTAGCTATGCAAGTTCAGCGACTACTGCCTGGTTTTGGAGAGAGCTTTACGTGCCCTGAGAAGGGCAGACCCTGAAGTTTGCTTGTCAGGAAGGTAAAAATCGGTAACCCTAATATCTAGAAGTCAAATTCTGTGATCAAACCAGAAGAGAGTGATAGAGAGCAAGGGCCAAAAGCCGTTCAACCAGTATATCCTCATTATTGTCTAAGTCCAACAAATCAGTAGCCCACTCTTCAGTTTCTGTAAAGTTCCTGGATTTATCCCAAGGAATTTATTCATAAACAAACTTAAATAATGTGCAGTGAATATATGGAAAGTAACTTGTTGACTTTTTAAAACTTGAATTGGGTTATAAAAAGTGAAAAGGACAATTTTTAACCAAGGAGCATGTAAAGCAAGGATGAACTTCATGGGGTCCATGAATCCCCTTGATGTAGAACAGCCTTCTAGAGGACAAAGTCCAATACTGCTCCGACCAAAACGGTAGCCACTAGCCATGTGTGTCTATTGAACATTTGAAATACGGCTATTTGACTAAGGCACTGAATTTTTTGTTTTATATACTTTTAATCGACATTTAAAAACTGAAGCAGGGTAGCATTTGTATCAAACACAACTTTATTGTTTGGGTAGGACTACATTTCACTTCACCATTGAAAACTTAGTACCTGAACTGAGGTATGATAGAAGTTCAAAAAAGCACTCTGAATTTCAAAGTCTTAGGATGAAAATTTTGATGTAAAATACCTCATTAATAATTTTATATTGATTGCATGTTGGAATAAGATTTTTATATTTGAATAAAGTATATTATTAAAATGAATTTCATCCATTTTCTTATGTGCATACTAAGATATTTAAAATTACCTATGTGACTAGCACTGTATTTTCATTGGATGGCGCTGCTCCGTAGCATTCATCACATTCTCCAAAAGATTATGTTGGAAGGAAAAGTTTCCTATTGTGAAAGCTGGTTTTGGAGTACTTTATTTCTTTTTAAGATTTTATTTTTTTAAGTAATCTCTATACCCCACGTGGGGCAGGAACCCACAACCTCGAGATCAAGAGTCCTGTGCTCCACCAACAGAGCCAGCCAGGTGCCCCTGGAGCACTTTAATATATGTTTATATATTATCAACATATTATTTATATTAATATTAATATGTGCTATCATGTCTGACACCTCGCCTCAAAATTAAATAATAACAGTGACATTTACAAATACCTACCAAGTGCCAGACAGTGTGGCAATCCTTACAATAACTTTATAAGACAAAGGTCATCCCCATTTATAGCTAAGAAAATTGAGGTTGCAAGAAATTACGGTTTGTGACAGTTCCACAGGGCAATGGCCTGTAAAGGTCCCATGTCTGCTCCTCTTTATGTTTGTTGTTGATACAGTTAAAATGAACCTAGATCAACAAGGTTGATGAAGACATCAAGCATTGCAGGTAACATAAGGAGATTTCACCAGAGGGTAAGCACCTTGAAGAGCTGAGAGTAAGAGGAGTGTTGTTTACTTAGCAAATTCATAGTTTAGCATATAGGTGCTAGCCGGCCTCTAAATCCTCCTCCTCCTCTCGTGGTTTAAAGGGGGGTAAGAATAAAAAAACCAAAGTAAGGTATAATGCAGATACATTTATCCAAGTGTCCTCCAAAAAAACAGCTGCATCAAAATAACATACGCAGCTTGTTAAAATTGTGTTTTCCTGGGCCCTACCCAGACCCAGGATCCTTGCAGGTGGGCCCTAGGAATCTGCCTTTTTAAAAAACACTCCCTCCCCAAATCCAGGTAATTATTAAACTACAATGCTTAAAAACCTCTTTCCTAGAAATATCCCTCTATCCCCAATTTACTGTATAATGTACTTAGGTGAGAACCATGCATCCCAGACAGCAGCAACTTATCTCAGTTCCCTCATCCTTAAGAAATAATTATAAATAACTTTTTGAGGTTATTATGAGGAGTAGAGATAATATATATAAAGCACCTGGCAGCATGCTTGACACCAAGTAGATGTTGAATAAATGGTAGCCATATGAAACTTGCCAAACCAATTGATTACATTTATTTACATATCACAAAGAAAAGTAGAGAACTTGAGCGTTCAATGTGGACTAAGTTCTTCGTGACTTACGTACATTATCTTTTTAAATTCTTACCACCATATAAAGTAGGTATTTTTTCAGAAGAAACAGAAATGTGGAGATGAAGAAACTTAACCAAGAGCACACAACTAATGAGTGACAGAAGTAGATCACAAGATCTGACTCCAAAAACCATGTCCTTTTCATCTCCACACACTTCTTCAGGTAAATTCAATAAGCCATCCAGCTTAAAGACCAGAGAAAGGAGATGGAAAACTATAGCAGCTAACACTGTTGGGAGCCAGAGAGATGCATTCTGCAACAAATTATGGAAATTAAATACTTGTATATTATTATGAGTACGTATATCACTTGTATATGAAACAGGACAAAATTCCTGAACCATTTCTGGTAGAGGATGTGCCTTAACTTGTTTCAGAATGAATTGCTCCCAAGACATTCTGAATCCCCTTCTCTGTCTTGTTCATTACTAACATTTATGAAATGGTTGGCCATGATTTGAAGGACAGTCTGTGACTACAGACTAAGCAGGATGATAACTGATCCATCAGGAAATCAGACCAGTGTCCTTAGCCTTGTTAACTCTACACGCTAAGCAAAGGAACTCACCACAAAAGAAACTGTGTTTAAAGTTTCACTTTATCATAACCAGTGCACAAGAGAAAGAAAAAGTAGATCAAAAGATTAATTTAGAAGGAAGAGTTTTTAAGAATATTCCATCTAAACACAGTATTTACCCAAGTGAATAAATGTTTGCTCTAACATTTTACTATCCTCTTGCAGTACTTCAGAAATAACAAACTTTTAATTACAAGATGGCATGGCTGTGACAAGTTCTTACGGTTGCACCCAATAAATTGTAAAGTGCCAGTCTTTAAAAAGTTCCTACATTACTCTAAGTCACCTTTTTAAGTCCTAATCCTGAAAGGCAAACAAACCACTCAGAGGTATGAATATTTAATGTTTAAAATCCAGAATGGTCAGGGCGCCTGGGTGGCTCAGTTGGTAAAACACTGGACTCTTGATTTCAGCTCAGGTCATGATCTCAGGCTCATGAGATCGAGTCTTGCATGAGGCTTTGCGCTGGGGGTGGAGCCTGCTTAAGATTCTCTCTCTCTCTCTCTCTCCCCCTCTCTCTGCCCCTCCCCCCAAAAAATAAAAATAAAATAAAATCCAGAATGGAGAGGATGCTGGGAAGAGGGGCAAGCACTAAAGAAGCAGAGAGAGAGAGAGTAGAAAGAAATAAATGGATGGGAAACGCTCTGGGAGCAGATCCTTGAAGCCTATGCAATTGAGTAAATAAATAGGGTATCGAGGAAGAAGTTAAAAAGTTTAAACTTTTTAAAACTGCTTCAAGATTTCAAGTCTGGTTTTGGGGAGTGGTATTAATAACTAATGTTGAAGAGAGAGGAGACATTTTTGAAGGGACAATGCATTTCCCTGGCAGTTTTTAGTAAGAAAAAAAAAAAAAGCCAATTTATGAATAAAAAGGGTGGATAGTAAGGGCACTGAAAAAAGTACCAGAGAGCTCCAAGTTTCAGATTTCAGGAGGGAAGGAATATTCCTCATGATAAGATCAAGGTTTAGGGGTACCTGGGTGGCTCAGTCTTTAAGGGTCCTGGGATCAAGCCCCACATCGGGCTCCCTACTCAGAGGGGAGCCTGCTTCTCCCTCTCCCACTCCCCCTGCTTGTGTTCCCTCTTTCGCTGTGTCTCTGTCAAATAAATAAATAAAATCTTAAAAAAAAAAAAAAGATCAAGGTTTAGCCAATCTGATGGTTTACTCAAAGTCATTTCTTTGAGGCATCTGGTTGGTGATAGAAAGGATAGAGAATATGTGATTTTGGAGAGGAGATAGAACATAATCGAGAAAGGTTGGTATATAAAGAAAAAATGTTATTTGAAGAAAGTCAAGAAAATGAGAAATAGGCCTGGGCACAACTTCCCAATTAGTTGGTTATGCCAAGAAATTAATCTTCTCAGTCTGGGAGGTAGTGCAGACTGGGAAGAAGGCTTATCCATTTTCCTCCATTTCTAAGTTTGCCTTGATGTAAAAAGAGTTGAGAAGCAGGAAACCAAGAAAAGACAAATGAAAAAAACCTGCCATCTTTCAATCAGGATGATCAGGATGACTTATACATTTGAGCTAAATGAACTTAGGAAACTGTAAAGAGAGATCTAGATGTATACTGTGAGAGCTCGTTAGAAAGATCTGCCCACACCTCTGTGCAGTGTTCCTTTATTAAAACATTTTCAATATTGGTCACTTGCTATCCACCTGATACTAATAGGTTATTGTATGTCAATTATACGCCTCCGAGGGTACCATCTGTTTCCTCTCAAAACCCTGACTAATACATTATTGGTGATTCTTTTTATCATCAGTACCTTCACATAAATCATTAGAATGTTATGCACACTTATTTACTGAGCATCTATCATGCCCTAAACTCCGTTGATATGTAATTTTAAAAGTAAAGTCACTTTTTGTAAAAATATTATGACTTTTGCTTTTGTGATTTTTTAAAAATTGATGACTTTTTAGTCATTTTAGGATTTTTAGAAGCATTTCCTTTAGATTACAGTGTGGTATGACCCCCCATCACTTAAAATCTGGAGATAAGTGCTTTCTTTCCGCATTGTCAACTTTTAACCAATTTTTAAAAGAGCTAGCAAAGGTGATTATTCTGAATCACAAACAAAATACATCTTAAATCTAGACCTTGTCTATGCATATAGGGTAAACAATTAACCAGAGTTATCTTTGGGAGGTAGGATTGGGAAACTGTTAATCTTT